GGCGGGCGGCCGGTTGCTCTCCCCCTCTCCCGCTCCTCCAGCCTGTCACAGCACAGCGGAAGGAGGCTGAAAGAAAAAAGCTGACAAGATCCGCACTGGTATCGGCGAGAATCGGGGGCGAGGAAAAGGGTTTTTTACCACTTTAGCATCCTTTGCGGGAGAAACGGGACAATGTGCTGTTTGTGTAACTAACTCCTGTTAAAACAGTCCCTCTAGTCGTATTGACTAGCTCTGCTTGTAGTGTTGGTATGACCAGCTTATCCCTTAACACTTTCTTGAAAGGATGGAGGGTTGCTTATTCTTTTAAAGTCTGACTTTCTGTTTGAGCAAGTTTGTCAACAACGTGTCTACGAACAAATCCTCTTTTGACAAGTTATTTTGTAAAAGTTAGTTCAGGGATTAAAAACCTGATGATTTGTGTCATCGCCTTAATAGTCTATCTGCGATGGTTAACGCTTTTATGTGTAGTTACCAACTTGCTGCGTGAAATTTCTTTCAGCAGCTTTGAGGACAAGATTTTTACAGAAAACTAATGCTGCAGAGTTCGAACATGTTTCCTTTTACAGAGGCCGTTCTTAATTGATGCTTAAGGTATTTGTTTTCTTTTGACAGTATTTGTTGACGACAGAAAGGCCTTCATCATAAAAGCTGATAGCAAGATATGGCTTACTTTCCTTCTGGGTAAGTAGAAGGAATGTGTCGGGGGCAATACTGTTCTTTTTACTTTTCTTTCTCTGGAATTGTAAACTCTGTCAAAATATATTTGGAAATATGAGTTGGAAAAACAAAAAAGCATAGCTTATGGTGGAAAGGGACAGGAAATGACTTCTAACCTGGTAACTTTTGTAAAGCTGTTATTGTAGTTGATGTGGTATCAGAACACTTGTAGGAAAATATTTGTCCAGATATTTGTGGATCTCTCCTATCCAGTCAATAATTTCTAGGGAAAAAAAGAAAAAAAACAACTCTTATTAAGTAATGTAATCAAAACAGCTTGTTTTGGAAGGATTACAGGTGGAAGAACATACAGCTGTAGAGGGATGTAAATTCAGATGTTACTGTCCTTGGGAATATTTTGAAGTAAATGATAATACAGCTAATGGCCAAAGTCTTGGAAAAGGAACCTAAAGTATTTGCAAAATTAAATAAGAAATGTGTTCCTAAAGTTAACAAATGTTAAATAATAGCATATTTGTCAGATGTGCAATTCCATATACTCTTAAGGGTTTAATATTAAAAGACTGTCAGGGTATTCCAAAGATGCCAGTACTATTAATCACACCACCAGTAGTCCTTGTTGCCAAAGGGAGTTTCTTCAGTTTGATGAATTACATTGCAAAGTAGTATCAGGGAAACAACCTTTAGCTTACAAACTAATTGATGAATAAACTGTTCCTGAATTGCTTTGCTTACTTCTGTTTATTCAGCATTTCCTAGACTAATAGTTACTTAAATGACATAGAAACATTAAAATGATGGTCAAAATTGAAAAATGCTTTCCTTTGATTGAAATTTGAGAGCAGATTGGGTAGAGAGCTTTATAATTTCTGGAGTTTGAATTCGGCCGTGAAACCCAGATAACCAATTAAATACTGCAGGGAGCTATTTATATTTTTAATAGGAGTAAACCGTTAATAGCAAAGTATGTAATAGCATACAGTATTTGCAGTAGCAAAGAATGTACATATACTAAATATGAAATAGTGGGTTTTGGTTAGTTTTAGTGGTATTTGACTTGTTGTTTTGCTTAAGCTTTAAGGTCCAGATTTTAAAAAAAGGCAGCTCCCACAGGTGGAGCTAGTGTTGTTATAGGGTGTGGATTTTTTTCTCTTAAGAATTCTTTCCAATTTACACGCAACAATAAAGTTGTCAGATTTTCGAGGACATTCTTATACAACACTTTGCCCTATTATGTTGTGTGTGTTTTTTTTTTTTTTTTTAAATGACCATTGAATTGAGGCCTTATTCTTGAAGACATCCTTTCTAGATTGCACAGAATCTCACAATGAAACATTTTGACTAAGCTGCAGAAGTACTCAACACTTGCACATTGTTCCCAGTTCTGCTGTATTTCTGCCTAGTCACTTCAGGGATACTTCCAAAGTATTAATCATTTTCTAGTACGTTTCACATCCTGTTGCATTACAGTATCTCAGCATTTGTTGTTCTCTTGGTAAATGAGTTCTGTATAATACGGCTTTATTCTTAGGTATTTGATTTCCAGAATTAGAACGCTTTTTATGTGCCATTCATACCGTTTTTCTTAGAACAGAACACAGGCAAAAATAGGAAATCCAAAGAATAAACTATCAGATTTTACTTAATAGCCCTAGTCTGCAAAAATCTGATCGTATGCTTTGCTTTTAGGGATTATTAGGTTGGGTGAGAAAATGGCATCTGCAAGTTCAAGTACATAGTAGTCGTATAAGTCTTTGTAGCGTTAGGACTCTAGTGTTCCTCTCCTGTCCTCTCCTTCATTCCCTCCCCAGTAAGGACATTAATGTGATCAAAGGATGGTAATTTAAGAGAGCTGATCTGCGTGTTTTTCATCAGAAACTAGCTTAATGTAAGTCTGGATGCAGTCTGTTGAAAAATGCCTATTTGGACTCATAGTGGCAGTCTATGAATTACGCGCATTGTCTCTTGAAATGTGAGTAATTACATGAATTGCTGTGTGATTATAAAAGGTCTTCGTTTTATACTTATAATAAAGTGATATTGTGAAGGTTTATAAAAATGTATATGAAATTCTCCAAAATAACTGTGAATGTATTTACACTTACTGCATTAACTTTAAATAAAACATTTACTGAAGGGAAGAATCAGATTTAAATATATTGTTTTCTCTATGAAATAAGTGGTATGTTTGAGTCAGAAATGTAATTTCCATATTAATAGATAATTTATTTGCAACAATAAAATACTGCATATTTGGCTTATTTAGAACCACATGAATTTGAGATCATGAACAGTACTGGTAGCTAATGTGAATTTCTTTTGATTTCACTGTATATTCTCACCTAACATGTAATTTGTCTTAAAATTGATATTTCTTTTTTATAATGGGGGTGTGTGAATATGTGAACGTATTTGAGCATCTAAGCTTATTGGGAATCTTACAAACGTTGCTGAGAAATGAAATAATGCTTTGTGCAAATGTGAGACTCCAAGTAATAACTAAGAAAGGTGTGGACTTCTCTTTCTTTCCATACAGTTACTGCAAAATGTGTTTGTTTATGGAATGTGGTTTGCTGTGTTGCCAATACAGCTAATGTGCTTACCTGGAATTCCCTATCATACTCATATCTGCTTTTCTGAAAAAGGAATTTGCAGCTCTTAATGAGAGCTAATGTAAATGCCCTTAGTATAAAAAAAAAATAAAAATCTGTAGCTCCTGAAACTTTCCTAAGACATTAAATTCCACTTAATGTGAACTATACTGAGCAATCCTTTGGTGAATTTTTTTTCTAGACAGTACATGTAAAAATTTAAAATTTTAAATGAAAGCTTGTGGTATTCATTTTCTAAATTAAATCTCAGCTTCTCTTTGAGAAAACTACTTCAGTGACTGAAGGGGACCTGAAAAACTCTTAAGGAAGTTTCACTGTGGTATTGTACAATCTCAACTACTATGTGAAGTATGTAACTTGAGGTAAATGTTAAATTGTACAGGCAGGTAGTTTAGAAATATTTTTCCCCTTAGGTAATTCTTTTTTTTTTCTTCTGTTACTCAGTTTCACCTCACACATCTTTGTATACAAAACTTTTATGAACTTCAATTTTAATATTAATGTACTTTGTTGCATTATGACCTGTGGTGACAATGATGATAAATACTGCCAGCAGCAGCACTTCAAGGCTCTGTGTTGGAGGAACATGTGGTTTGGGAATATATACTAGGGCATGAAGCATACATTCATTCCACTCCTCTTCCACTTAAATTTAGTGGTTTTGCAAAGGTGTCTGTCTTTCTCTTGTCCTTGCCGCTTTACAGAAAGAGACCACCATACGCATGTAACACGCAGTCTGAACACGTGCCCATTCACTAACTCTCCGACTATATTCTGTGTCAGTGTGCAGGCATTTGACACATGTTTTACCTCTGTGCAAGCAACTTGACCCATTCCGTGTCGTCGCAGCGGCGCGGGCCGTGCCCGGGTGCCCGTGGGCTGCAGGAGGTGTGTGCAGATCAGCACCCTGGAGAGGGACGCGGCGCTCGGCACCTGGCTGACCCTAGCTGGGTGTGGGCCGGGAGGGTGGTTGTCTTCTCCACTTTCTGCTCCGTATGGCCTATGTGAATAAGAGGGCTCTTCATTAACCATAAACATTTTCTTGGGTTGAAGGCAACCAGTCTACCTGACCTTTCTATGGCAGCGAGCCACTGTGTGCCTAGAGGGCGACCAAGACGCCTTCAGTCTAGAAGGAGCACCATGGTTACTCGAAGTGCCTACCCTTTATCCCCCTACCACTCATGCTGGCTTTGCTTCCATGGTGAGCTCTGGATATGCTGTGAATGCTGCCCAAGCAAAATGGAGTGGCTTCTGCTCTCTGTGGATCTTGTCATGCTCAAGAAGTCAGAGACCTAGCCTGTTTACCCACCACTTTACTATAATTTGTCTTTTCCCTTTGTCCCTCAAATTATTCCCTTGTTCTGTACCTATGTGACAACAGTGCAGATCATCTCCGAATGGACAAATGGAATGTTATTACATGGAGAGTCTACCTTTTTTAGCAATTATGGTCTCAGTTAGATTTGTGTTGGTTGTCACAGTCTGTTTGGATCTCTCAAATTTACGGGACAATGTACTCTGTAAATTAAACTTTATTTTATGAGCTCATTAGGAAAGAAAACAGACATGGCAAGGGTTCGGTCTACTTTGTACAGACTAGTCTAACATGGGAATTCACCAATTCATCACTTAAGGCATGAGGTTTCTAACTCACAAGTTCTCTAGTTTGCAACTCCTAACTTGTGCACCTATGAGCAAAATAGTTACCAGCTGCTGGTGGGAGTGCTCATCCTTCCTCTTCCATCACGGTGCAGGTGCCCCCTGTATCATATCAGTAATCATGAAAGCCTCAGCAGTCCAGCTACTGCTGGATCTGCTTTAAAAACTTTTTGGGTAAGCCGATGTATTTGTACCTTCCAGCTTGGAAGCTTGGTCTATACCATTTCCATGAATTAGCAAATTCTGAAGAAACTGCCAGACAATCAATATGCGAGGATTATGGCTGCAGGAGACAGCAAGCTGCAGGTGATAATGGCTGCATAATGTCCTTTAGCCCTTTCTGGCCACTGGGTCCTGCCTATGCCTCGCTTTGACCTAACAGTGCTGCTCCTAGCATACATCAGGCCTTAGTATGAGCTGTGTGTTAGCCGAAATCTGAGCAGCAGTTGAATGAACAGTCATAGAGGTATCTTAAAATGTTAACAATATTTATGCTTATTAAAAAAACCCTTATAATTCAGTTTTGTTATTGAGAGCTGAAATGGGTGCATTAGATTCTGATGGATCAACCTGAGTGATGCAGGATATAGGTGGGAACATTGCCTATTGCTGAATGCCATCAGCATAATTTCAGATTTTCAAGGAACTGACCATAAAAGTTAATTCAGATGTTCGTGTTCTGTTCCTCTGGAGGCTGAGTACCTTCTCTGCACCTCTGAAGTAGTACTGTAATTACTTTAAAGAACATGATTTCGTGTTCGATGATTTAAATATTTGAGTAACAACATCTTTTGTTTCCTTTACAGCTGTTTTTGCAGGAGTCCTACATTGGTAAGGTTAAATTTATTGCTTGAGAGTAGTATGGGTTTTTAAAATAATCAAAATATTTTTTTGACCTATATTTAGACAAGCTATTGGGATAATTTATATTTAAGTCTTTCCTCTCAAAACCAAATTGTTGTCTCTAAGATGAATAATTCTGTTGTTGTGAAGCTGATGTGAAAGGTTTCTTAAGCCTGTTCAGTGAAGAGTGAAGCCTGATTTCCAGGTGGAAAATTGTTGCTTAGCTATACAAATTCAGGTGCATTTCCACTAACAGACCTTTTTACCCTCAGTGGGTTTTAAAAGTCCAGGTAAATCCTTTCAACTTTCTCCTATGTTCTGCTTATTTAGATTCTGCTTTAATTTATTAGTTTTACATCACGTGTTCTCTAACCTCTTCAGAGAATTCTGGCCAATGTTTTATTTGTATACAGAAGAATGGCCTTTCAACTACTCTTTGTCAACGTAATCCTTGTGTTTCAGGTTCCATCCTAATCCTCACCCTTCCTTTTTGTAGTATAGACTTGAAATAGAATGGCTTCTATAGTGATTTTTCACCAGCTACTTATGCAGAGATAAGAAGTAACAGCTTCTGCCACTCTTTTTGTTTCCTAGCTCAAAAAGAACTATTGATTTTTAGTAGTGTGTTTCTTGCAAATTTCTATTCAAAAGCAGAGTCCTGTGCACTACTCTGTTTCTTTCTTTTTCCATCCTTTCTGGAGATGAAGCACCTCTTGGAAATTGCAAGTTTTGCCTCCAAAATAATTTGCATTTTGCCTGGCTTTTTTTTTCCTCCCTGTAGTTGCACCTTTATTTAAATATACTTTTGATGGTAAGTGCATCTATATATAATGGCAGATAACCGCATTAAAATGCAAGTCAGGGAAGATTTTTGTGGAAAAAACATACACTACTTGTATGTGCACCGTTATTTTCACCAGTTTGTAATCTGTGATTCTTTTCATTTGTCAGATATTTGAATTTTCTTTCCTAATATGTAGACTTGATAGTTTTAATAGCATTAAACTTTTGATCCTTAAGTGTCTGCACTTAAGTTAAAATGCATTAGAGTATTATAACTAATTCCATAATACAAGGTAATAAATGCTCTATGGATTCATATTTTTTCCATTTAAAATAGTCTAAATAGAGGCGAACGTTGGTATACTATATGAGTAAATTAAAATAGCAGTTTGTAAGTAAACTTTGGGTCTTCCTTGAATGTTTTGCCAGCTCTTCCTTGGTATATATGACTTAGTATAGGTTCTAAACCTCTTTATTCAGTTTTAATTATTACTATTTTTTAACAGGTGTCACATAACAACTCTTTTTGAAAATGACCGTCATTTTTCTCACCTGTCAACGCTAGAAAGAGAAATGGCTTTTCGCACGGAAATGGTTAGATTATATTTCAATAAAAATTCAGTGATTGGAAAACTTCTGTCTGTAATCTTGTGATTGTGGGCTTTCCAAAATTTCTTAATACCTTCTGGATAAGTAAATATATTGATATCTTGCAACTAACATGCATTATGCTTTTACATGCAGCGCATTTATGTGTCTTGCAGCTGATCACTATGAACGTATCTCTTCACAGTTCACTTAAAATATAATTTAAAAATATGATTCTAGAGGACCTAACATACAAAACTACAAGAACCTTGTAGCATACTTTCAATTATAGTCTTGTTATGCAGCTTTTTTTTTTTAATATTTTTTAAATTAATGTTTGCATAGGTATACAGCTTTTGGCTGCTTTTATTTTGAGAGTTGTGAAATACTATGCTAGTGCGTAGTTACCAGCCCAAATGAGAGATTTCTAGATGTCCTATGAAACAAGATGGAAGGAAACGCACATTGCTTGTTTCAGTGGCACTAATAGATGAGATTTGAAAAACCGGGTAGTCATTTTGAATCGTTTTGTCCTATTTGTTGTATTACAAAATTTGATTTAAAACCGAAGCTTGCATATGGTAGTTCATGAAGCAGAAGTGATCTCTTTAATCGTAAATAATGATTCTGCTCTCCTGTAGGGTCTTTATTATTCCTACTTCAAGATCATTATTGAGGCACCATCGTTTTGGAATGGAGTATGGGCAATTATGAATGACAGACTAACTGAATATCCCTTAGTGATTAACACCTTACAAAGGTTCAATCTTTACCCAGAGGTGAGCTATGTTTTAAAAATAATACCTTCTGATAAACCTTTGATTTCTTTAGATTTGACTACAGATTTTACTCTGGAAAATGTGGTTGTAAAGATATAGTGACTAATGAAGTGTTGCTTAAATACCTTATTTTAGTTCCAGATTTAAAATGAGAAAGTTACTTCATACATTGTGATCAATTCTCAGACTTCAAGTTTGTCCAATCAAATGTGAATACTCTCTAGATCTTAGCATTTCATGCCCTGAAGTTGCAATCCAATTCTACACTTCTTGTCTTCTTTTGGTCTTTTCACTGAAAGCAAGTAAGTTTCTGACATTTCCTGAAGTACACAATATGACATATGAAGTACCAGTAGTATGTGACAATAATGTCTGCAGCGATACAGGTACTGAGAGGTTATTTTGGCTTGCATTTTGTGTAGGACAATGTACTAACGAATCATCACAGTTCACTGTGGCCCTAAAATCCATGAATGGTAATAGTTTACTTATATGTTGCAGAAGAAATTCCTCTGTAGAAGACTGCTGTTGTTTGTACATACTTGATGTTAGACTTGTTACCTGGTTAGATTACGTTCTACTCTGCTTTTTTGTCACTAAAAAGAGCACTTCCTTAAGTATAGAAATGTTTGGTTTTCTCTCTCTTATGGTTTTGCCAGTGTGTCTCAAACATTTTGCAAAGGGAAAACTCCTTTGGTTAATGTGCATTTCTGTAACTCCATGCGTCAGCAATGACTTAGTTTTTGGAGAACCAAGGACTAATAATGGCTGTAATTGCTGGGTGCTAGCATTTATACTCATTCTCCTGCTCTGTCAGAGCAGAGCTGCTTTCAGGAACTATATGTGTAAGGGTTCTCAGCATGCATGTATTTATACAACTTGCATGTAGTGGTTTCATTTACTTCTTAATTCCTTGCTCTGGAAGAACTAAATGCTATACATGAGTGCTTTTTGTTACCCTCTCACTGGTTTTGGGTTTGTTTGTGGGATTTTTTTGAATTTTTTTGTGGTTTTGTTTTGTTTTGTTTTGTTTGTTTTTAACTCCAAAGGGCTGGAGCTCAGTTCTAGAAATGCAACATGAGGAGCGTGTGCCTTATTTGAATACTATGAAGTTATTTTCTTTAGCTGAGAAAGATTTATTGACTTCGGCTATAGTCTGACTTGCAAAAATCAAAGGTAACTGGTCAAATGAACCTGCTCTTAGAGAATCATCAATATCACCATGAAAGATGACTAAGTAAATTGAATGATGAAATCAAAACAATAGCAATCAGATATAGTGGGTGACAGTCTGTAAGAACGTTAGGTAGATTACTGTGCAAAATGTGTAGGCTTGTCTGTTCATTCAGAGTTTTCTAGGATCTTACTGGTTCATAGAACTTGGTGATAAGGTGTGAATTCATTCATGTTTTCTGTGCCTGTGTGGGCATGCAAAGCAGAAAAATAGTCTCCTCTGCTCCTTTCAGTCATTTCTGGCTTGATGTCTAGCCTTCCTGTAAATAGCTTTTTTTTTTAAAGAGTGTATTTCTTGAGTACTCTTGTTTCCACATACTGCATCTATAAAACTGTCAATAGGTGCAACCTGACATTTGAAGTATGTTCTCCAAATTTATCTAACTTTACTTATGATTATAATGGGGCTGGGTGATGGGAAGATGCTTGTGGATTTATTTGTTGGCAGTGAAATTTTTCCCTCTGATACTCAGTATCCAGTCATGTTTTCTGAAAGTGTTTCATTTCCTGTTTGATATTTTAGGATCTTTCCAGCTTTTTCAGCCCAATAGTGGCATTAAGGCTGAATTTTAATAAAGTTTTTGTTTGTTTACCGGATTTCAAAGTCAATTACATCAAAAATAGCCTTGAAATCCAGTTACTAAACAGGATATTAAACCCATTAAGAAAAGTAGAACAGTTCACCTGCATGTACAGTCGGTACTAGCCATGAAAACTTCAAAAGAAGGAAAAAAAAGGGTAAAGTGAGTCCATAGCAATCACTACATCGTCTGTGTAAATTATAGATATAAGCAGTAAAAAAAAAAAAAAAAAAAAAAAATTTG